CGGGTCAAGTACTTACCAAATATGGTTACAGGCATAAACACTAATCCAACACTTCATCCATTTCTTAACCTCTAGAGACCTAGATCTCAATAACATAACACAAAAGGGTCCAAATTGACCTAAAAGGTCCATGCATGGGTGAGTTAAGTGCAAGCACTCGACTTTATGGGACCACAAGGTCCAGAACTATCACAAATACAAACCAAGGCCCTAGAGTTGCTCAAAACTCCAAGTATCATTCTCCAAGGACAATAAAGGAGCATCTAAGCATGCAAAACAAATCAATAAGGAGAAATGTATGTATGAGCTTTATAGCTTTAGAAGATTGGAAATGCTTAGAAGATCAACTCTCTACCAGCAACAACCCTATCAACAAAGAATGACCACCTTCTTCTCCCAAAATCTCAAAAGAAATTATAACACCAAGAAACAGACACTAAAACACCAAGAATACACACTCAAGTTAGGGTTTCTTTCTGGAAGGTGGAGGCTAAAACACCAAGAACACACACACACACAAGGCCTTAGACGTGCACATTATATTATTCATAAATTCATATTTTTTTGTTCGCAACGGGACTTGAACCATCGACTTTTTGTTGAGGAGCATATATCCGTCAATTCATAATACCGTTAGTCGATGGCCATTTGATAAGTGTCTCAAATATTAAATCCAAATATTTTTAAAATGTACAAATATGAAAATTACAAAATAAAAGTTAAAGATATACTGTTTGCTTTTATTATTATTATTATTATTATTATTATTATTATTATTATTATTATTATTATTATTATAATCCAATATCTCAAATTCTTAAGATTTATTATCATAATTTGAATCCGAATCATAATTATCATAATTTATATCATAATCTTAATTACATATATTTGAATTTTCAGGTAACTTGGAAATAGTTTTTTATTGTCATGTATGATTGCATAGTTTTGTTATTACTCTAATAAAATATATTGAACATACAAACAGCGACATAATTATATGGTAGAGACAATGACCATTGAATAATGATAAATATTCGACAAAATTATGCGGACTGTTAGTATTATGGTTTATCATATCAGAAAGATTTAGTACAGTCATCAAAGTGATTATACCAACCTTTTAAAAATTGGTTTGAACCGGAAATCGGAGATGAGAACAATTCAACAACGATCGGTTTTATGCTAATTTGTAGACCGGAGAGTTTCCTCAAGTATTGGATTGAACCGGTGTGATAGAACTAGTAAAAAACCGTTTGAATGCAATCTATTTGGATAGTTGGATTTCACTTGACTCGTTAAAAAAACAATCTATTTTCAAAGAGAATTAAATAGCTCGATCGATCAGTTTACACGAAACGTACACAACTCGAACACCCACATGTAAACCGGCAGACTGGTTGAATTGGAAATGGGTCATAACATCTATTAACTAAAAAGCCGATTTTTAAAAACATTATATTCCCAGTTTAGTCCCCATGATTTCATTTCTTATGGGTTTTCATTTGTTTCCAAAAATTGTCCCATGAATCCATTTGACAAATAAAAAGACTATTTTACTTTTTTCACTTATTTTATTTTCAAATTTATATATATTTTAAATCATTTTATTTATTTTAGTAATTAAAAAATAAGAGGTCTCTCTCTTATGTCTTCGTCTTGGTGATGAACACAACATCAAAAGCTTCAAGCTTCTAAAATTGAAACCTTAATATCCCTTGTGTTATTCCGAAAATTCTATGACAAGCAAGCTACATGAACCCATACCCCTTTCCTTCCCTTATCGCACAACAATTTCACTAAAGTCACTAGTCACCACTACAAGTTTTGCCTTTAAACTCTCTCTCTCTCTCTCTCTCTCCCCCCTCCCCTCCCCTCCCCATCGACTTTTGGATTCGATTTTAGTGGAGAATTCCATATGTGCGACTTCAGTTTATGGATTTGCTTTGGGATTTAAGTTCGTCGGAAAACACTATGACATGAAGCGACTCAACCTGCAATAACTTTTTCTATGAGTTTACCACAAAAACCTTTTAATTTTTTTTTTATATTAAAAAATATTGATGATTTTAGTTTTACCATGTTATTTTTAATATAATGAAATTTATAGATAATAAATGAAGTTGAATACTTGATTGTAGTACAAATTAGGTTGTACAGAATGCATATTTATATAAAATGAGTTTGAATGCATATTTATATAAAATGGTATATTTATATAAAATGAGTTTGAATGCATATTTATATAATAACTTTTTCTATGAATTTACCACAAAAACCTTTTAATTTTTTTTATATTAAAAAATATTGATGAATTTAGTTTTACCATGTTATTTTTAATATAATGAAATTTATAGATAATAAATGAAGTTGAATTCTTGATTGTAGTACAAATTAGGTGGTACAGAATGCATATTTATATAATAACTTTTTCTATGAGTTTACCACAAAAACCTTTTAATTTTTTTATATTAAAAAATATTGATGAATTTAGTTTTATAACTTTTTATATGAGTTTACCACAAAAACCTTTTAATTTTTTTTATATTAAAAAATATTGATGAATTTAGTTTTACCATGTTATTTTTAATATAATGAAATTTATAGATAATAAATGAAGTTGAATTCTTGATTGTAGTACAAATTAGGTGGTAATGAATGCATATTTATATAAAATGAGTTTGAATGTATATTTATATAAAACGGCATATTTATATTTTATATAAAATGAGTTTGAATGCATATTTATATAAAATGAGTTTGATCTCAGTTACACCTAACAAAAGGCCACCTAAGGACATACAATGGGATTTCCCAATTATGTTGATAAAATGAAAAATCATTTTGTTACTATGGATGTTTGCGCAGTATCATTTTCTCGTTTGTTATTATTATAACAGAAGATCAAATGATGTTTGGGCAATATCATTTTCTGGTTAAAGGCGTATTTACAGTTTCCTTAATAATTGGATATTTTTTATTAAAAAGAAATAAAAAACATCAATATAATCAAGAAAATTAGGGGTGAAAATAAAACAAAACAAATAAATGTTTAGAATTGGTACCGTTCGGTTCTTAAAAGTTTTGAAGCGTGTCTGATTCTTGTTCAGTTGTTCTGCATCTGGGTCTAGATAACTCATTCTAAATATTGTTAAAGAAAATCTCAATACTATATAAATAAATAAACACTTACTAATAAATAAACAAATTTCAACAATTAACAATTCCAAAAAGTAAAATTTAAACTTTAAAGATTGAAAATAAATCAAAAAAAAAAAAAAAAAATTATTACATATCGTGAAAAAGTATAGATTGTCATCCGTTAGAAACAAACTATGAAAACTAAATCAAAATATTCCTCGCTCGTTTGTTTAGAATCTCATGGTGTTTGGGATTTGCTAATTTAAAACACTTTAGGTTTATTTGTAAAGTGTTTATTAGTTTTTTCGGTGTTAAAAATAAAAATGTATTTGAATTAGCTTATCTAGTATTAAAACATAATAAGTTGATAACTTGTTTTTAGGGTTTGACGTTTATAGATGTGACCAATAAGGGTCATATATATGTGGAAATTACTAATCTAGCCGTAACGGTTGATTATTTATCAAAAAATAACCAAAAATGCATCGTAGCCAAAAATAGCCCACAAAAGAGTAGTGAACCGCCGTTAATGACTGCGGTCAACGGCCGTTGACTACTCTGTTGCTGAAATCTACTCTTTCGTGGTAATGAACTACTGTTTTTATAATCTGTTTACTTTTTTGTGGCCTATGAGCCCAAAGTATATAATGTTTAATTTTTCAGATTAGGTTATTTTTCACTATTGTTTTGTTGGTTTGCCTACTTTTTTTCTCTTAATAGAGCACCCGAAGAACAACCAGGGTTGTCTACTTTTCATCAAAATTTTACTGTGTTTGTGATTAGGAGTACGTTTTGTATACGTGGTTAACTTTTTATTTGAAAAAAATCAAGAAAAAAAATAAAAAAAATAAAACCGTAGGTTTCATACGAAACCTACGGTGTATAAGTGGCCAATGCCCAGATTGTACAGTGTCGACTTGTACACCTATGGTTTCGTCGAACCTTATGTAATTTTTTTTTTAAAATTTCATCCAACATGATCGGAACTGTATATATAATATTATTTCATGATCCGTAGGTTTTTTTGTAAACCTACGGTTTTATTTTTTTTTTCGATGTTTTTTTGTTTAAAAAATTTTATAACCAATAACATTTGTATATTTTGTCGATTCTATGATTTTTTTTTTTTGAAAAAAAAGAAACCATAGGTTTGTATATAAAATCGTAGGTTTGTATTTAAAATCGTAGGTTATATATATAGTTTTCATTTTTGCTTAAAAACAAAATTGTTTCTACGGAATTTTAACGATTGTATATATGTTATGATTCCATGTTTGCATTTTTTGAAAAATATGTTATTTTCTATTAATGTACTATCTATTTGAAGAAGTTTCTATGTTTATAATATGTAGATACTTTAAAGTATAATGTATTTGATAAAATAACATTTTGTTTTGGTAGTTTTGGGCTTGTTATAAAATATGTTATTGTCATACCATTTTCAAAGTACAATGCTATATTTGGTATACTATTAGTATAGAAAATACAAAAAATGTTGTCAATTAATTTCCTTTGGTATTTTATAGAAAGTAAATAGAATATATGAAAGGAATGATTAATTGTTATATTGTGTGATTTGTCTACTTCATTAACACTGTTTTTCTTTTATAAAACCAAATTTAACCTTAATGTTTATTTAATTTTGTAGCTTCCAAACAAAAGGATGATGTGTAAGTCTGCGATGTTTTCGATGTTGACATGGGAGATGTTCCCAATAGTTCGGGGAAATGTTGCGATACAACGAAATTATTTATATCCTCGTATCTTGCGGTGGTTTCATATTAGGAGGTTGACTTGGGAGAAAGTCTGCGATGTTTTCGATGTTGACCAGGATGAGGCGCATCAACCCAAAAAAAAAGATGATTGCCTCAGATGTCGAGTCCTCTATCGCACATTATTTTTCATATATTGCTAGTTTGAATTGTGAATCGTCTAAAGTCCCTTCTACTGTACGCTACAACTTTAGAAAAGATGTAAGTAAAATGGTAAAAGTAGAATCTAGTATATTAATATTTTTCAACTATTATTGATAAATCAAATAATTTATGTAGGGGGTGTCTTCGTCTGATCCATCATGTGGAAACAGCCAATCTACCCAATCCATTGAACAAACTCATACGGTGGGAATTAACACAAGAACAACTCGAGAAATACTGGAAAGACTTCAATCTTTGGAGGAAGAAATACGAGGAATGAAAAATAATGGGGGATTTCGAGAAGTGGATGACTTGGAAATTTCAAGGAGGATTACGTAGGGAAGTTAGAAAGTTATGGTGGATCCTCATCAAGTTCCTCAAGCTTAACACTTGAAAGAAAAGTTGAAGAGGTTACTTAGGGGAAAATTGTTGAAACATAGAAGTGACCCTCTTAAACTTAAAAGACACCTGAAGCTGTCATCCGGAACTGCAATCATTCCTTGAACCGCAGTCGAACTCAGCACCGCAATCAAGATAAGCAACCGCAGTCATAGTCATCAACACCTAGTCTTAGTCTTTTGTCTGTTTTTCTTTTAGTACTTTTTTTTATCCAATGTACCATGCGTGGCAACTTTTAATAGATAGGACTGCTTGTAATCTTCGAGACTCTATAAATAGAGTTCTTTCTTTCTGAATGATACACATCTCTACGTAGCTTGAATCTCATCACTTATCTTACTTCCTTCTTTCTTATCACATAATCTTAACTGTTTGAAATCTCTCTCCGGAGCAAGTCTTTCTAGACTCATTCACTAAGTTTGATCTCACTCACTAACTTGGTATGATTTCATTCATTATTAAGAATCAACTTATGAGTTTACTTGATATAACACTTGTTGTCATTTATATTTCCTTATATTTCCGCATCTAACTCTTTAACTTCCTAACTCTAACTTATTAATGTTGTTGAGCTTTAATGATCCTTTGAGTTAAACATTATTCCGCATTATCACTTGTTCTAACGTTTGTTCAAGTGTGACTCATTTTTTCTCTAAACAATTGGTATCAGAGTCATAGTGGTTGCTTTTTGAAGCAAAACTCCGATTTTCAAAAGGCCTTCTATACCACTGAAGCTCATTTAAAAAAAAACAAAAAATATTTTTCAAAATAAGGAAATATGGCACAAACATTATCTCTCAATGTTTCCAACAGTGTTGGTGGTTCTAATAGATCCCCAATATTGGTGGCAAACGAATATCATCACTCGTCTCAAAGGATGGAACGATACTTATGGAGACTCGGTGTATCGACCTAAAAATCAAGGGCAAAAATTTCATTTTTAATATAGCTAAAACGTTGATACCATTTATTCCAAAATCATTCATTGCGAAAATCATAGATGTGTGCAGTGCGATCAATCCGAGCCCTTCCTTTCCAAAACGATGATACCTGAAACCATAAACAAAACCTGTAAGCACGAAGCTTAGTGAGTCCCCCAGAGCATACCCCACACACAATCCACATAACACATACCATATTGGCTATAAAAGCTACATATATCACATAAGCCATGCATACATAAACCTGTATGAATGCCATGGGCTACCCCACATGGTCTTTACCTAGGACTGCCATGGGCTACCCCCACATGGTCTAACATCCAATGCCATGGGCTAACCCACATCGTCTACACCTAGGACTGCCATGGGCTACCCCACATGGTCTTACATCTAATGCCACGGGCTCCCCCCCGGGGTCTTCCATGCAAGTATCACAAAGACAACTAGCATAACACATATCATATAATCACTAGCATGCCACTTAGCATAAAGCTAACTATCATACCATATATCTCTACTACAACTAGTGTACCACATAACATAAAATGGGCCGGCCTTGGTGCCTTAGACCCATTGGCATGGTGAGAAGATTCACCTCGAATGCAGAAGCTTCCTGAAGAAATCCTTAGCTGCTGCCCCACCAGCTACCCGAGCTGTCACTACCAATCAATATACCCAATTAGCAATTGGGTCCCATACCATAATCCTTAATCCATGCATGGGGTAAAATGACCATTTTACCCCTGGCCCAATATGATCCAAAACTAAGGGTCCAAACCCAAAACAAAAGCCCAACATTATAATGTCCATAAAACCATCAATGGCCTAATTTTCCAAATTAGGCCCAGAACTTTATAATGGAGCTTATACTAAAACCCAATACTTTCCTTAGTCAACAATCCTAACCCAAATGGCCAACGAAGGCCCACAACAACCTAGTCCAATAATTGACCCAAACCGAGGCCCATAATGCAGAGTTCATTTCTATAATCGGTCACAAGGCCCAATAGGCCTAACTATTCTATTATTGGCCCAAAGATGCATTCAGGCCCAACAGTTAACAAATCCAAACCCAAAACCATTAGGGACCAAAGGTCTGATGTCCACAAAGGCCCAAGTCCTCCTAAGAGCGTACGCCCAACATACCTCTTTTATACGCTTAGCGTACTGAGCAAATGGACTGTACGCACAACGTACTACATAGTACACCCAACGTACAAACAACTCATGCACAACATCCATTAAGTACTTAATACTTGATCCAACAAGTCCAAATCACAGATCTGAGCTATACTGTAACACCCTGTTTATTTATTAGATAAATAAATAAATTAATGAACGAATCATATCCCTAAAATAATAATTGAAATTTCAGGGGGTTAAAAATAGGATTTCCGAATTTATTATAAAGATTTTTTGGAGTTAGGGACTCCATGGTAATTATTTGGGATTTATTTTAAAAGGAAATGAGGTGGAAGGGCTGGAAATGTCATAACTGAGAATAAAGGGTTAAAAAGATAAATTCTGGATTGATTTTGAAAAGGATTTGTTAAGAAAGGGACTGTTTAGTAAAATTTGGACTTAATTTGGAAGGAGTTCAAGGGACAGGGTTCATATGGTAAATATTGGCTTTGTTTTGAAAGAAAAAGGGAGAAGGAGGGTATGTATGTGTGAACATGGGAGTAAGTTTGAAAGGCACGAGGTATATAAACTTGATTATACGTAGAAACCTTAGAGACCATGTGTAGCTGTCACCCCACCTTATACCTCCCTCATCGTCGCCGCTCTCCATCCCCGGCAGAGCCACGATCGTTGCGTCGGGAAAGAAAGGAACCCACCGGACCTCTACTCCACTCCTTATTTCCCCTTTTGTTCACTGCCATGAAGGGTATCGCCCACCACCACCACCATTATGATGCTCCAATGACGCCACTGCTACTACTGTTTCCATCACCGGCGATTTCAGGAAACTATGGTGGTTCAGAGATGGACCGCTACCCTTTCCTCCATTCCTTGGTGCCGACGCGCCACTCCAAGATGACACAACCACGACCTGCCGCCACCATCACCTCTTGATGACATTGATGTTGCTGCATCTGTCGAAGTTGGCCCATTCCCAGATGTGGGATTGAATGTTCGTGAGTGTATATTTGCTGCTTGACGGGGGAACCGAGAGACTGAAGGGCTACTGCCATTTTCGCTTCTGTCATCCCCGACTACAGCCTGACACCACCATGAGGTGATGGCTGCCACCATGGGTGGATGTAGTTTAGTGTGTGTGCAATTATTTTCTTGGGATATTAATTATAACTGTAACAAATTGGATTAATGAAAGAAAAACCAAAAACCACCACCTTAGGGTGGTGGCTGCCGCCTCCTGCCGCCACTGGCCGTTGTGTCGGGTAGCGGTGTGTCTTGCCTTGTCAACTGTGATTCGTTTGGGGTGTTTGAAACCCTAATGGGCCTTGTTAGCCTAACTGGCCCAATGAAGCCAAATGGGCTTAGTGAAAACCCTAATGAGTCTAATGGACTCCAATTAACCCAATAAAACCCTAGTGGGCTTAATTGGCCCAATAAAGCCTTGATTGACCTAAAAGCCCAACAAATTAATAAATGGGATAGTAATTGGGTTAGAAACCCTAATTAGGGTTTGGAAAACCCTAATGCAATCAAAACCCTAATTTTGGAAAATTAATCGGGACATACGGGAATTATTTAATAACTGGAGATATTAAATAAAAATCATTTGCAAGATTAATCTAAGAGACAGTGGACTTAATGGATTAAGTCCTTAGAGGATTAAGTCTTTAATGGGTTAAGTAGGACACTTAACCCTAATCGTCATTTTCTTTGAAACCCTAATTTCAGTTGGGTTTATTATTGGGCCTTTCTATTGGGCCTTGATGATTGGGTTGTTAAATGGGCCATCCAAGATCAAGGATCTAAACTAGAATAATTTAATTGGCCTAGAGTAAGGCCCATGTAAGGGGTTTGGGCTTAATTTGGAAAATTGGGCCATAGATGGGACACAGTTTGGGCCTTAGTGGTTATATGATGTTGGGCCTTAGAATAAGACCATGTATAGGCTTGGGACCAATTTGGAAAACTGGGCCATAGGTTAGGCTTTGATTCCTAATTGACTTTGGGCCTACGGATTGCGCCTTAGGCTTAAATAAAGCCAAGCCTGGGGTAATGTAGTAATTATCCAAAGTATGTACTTACGGTTATGTAGTGGGACCCAATTATTAATTGGGTGATGTTTTGATATTGAGAGATTAGGAATCTGTCATCCAGCAGCTGGGGTTGAGTCTGCAGGACTTCAGCAGTGTGGGATTGAGTCTACGGGACTTCAACAGTGTGAGGTGAGTTACCTTCCAGTAGGGGTGGGTCTAAGGCCATAATACCGGCCCACCGACATGAGTAATCGGTAGATAAATGTATTTATGATAATTATCTTGGTATGTTTATATATGATATGTGATATATGTTTTATGTGATAGGTCACGTTATGAGTTTGGTAGGACCAGAAGGTCGACAGGGTTTGGACCGGAAGGTCAACAAAGTTGGGTCGGAAGGTCAACAGAGTGGGACCGGGAGGTCTACAGAGTCAGGACCGGAAGGTCTTATGTGCTCACATGAGTTATGTGATATTATGCAATTTGTTTATGTGATAGTTTGCAATTTTTTATGTGATATTATGCATTTTGTCTATGTGACATTATGCATTTGTCTATGTGGTATTATGCATTTTGTTTATATGATATATGTTCTTTTCTATGTGATACGTATATGCTATGAGCTTGCAGGGTTTGGACCGGAAGGTCATTAGAGTATGGACCAGAAGGTCATCTGAGTATGGATCGGAAGGTCAACAGAGTAGGACCGGAAGGTCTATCGTAGTTGTGGGACCGGAAGGTCCTACCGAGACACATTGACCGAAAGGTCTTGTTAAGTTTTAGCCTCGTGTGGTTAGTTATATGTGCGTGGTATATTGGGGGA